GGTATCCTCTTTTTTACGAAGCCCTGCAAGGAATTAGAGATATGGATAGATGATCCAGTGTCAAGCCACCAAGAAGAAGAAGGGACATTAACTAGATTTGACTCAAAACAGACAAGGGCTTGTTGGTTACCTCTAGCTATTTGCTTGTCAAGCCAGCGCTTGTACTTGTGACAATCCCTCTTCATGTGCCCTTTCTTTTTACAGAAAAAACACTCATTGCTATCAGTCTTATTAACCTTAAGGTGATTAGTCTTTTTAGGGTGGTGAGCATGTTTGGAACTTTCTTTCTTGACAGGCATGACAGATTTAGTTTTAGGCTCATCCTTAGTCACCAAGTTAACAACACTCACAGATTTGTCACGCTTGATTCTGGCTTCTTGTTGAACACATATAGCTATGAGTTCATTCAGACTCCACTTCTCTCTTTGAGTAATATAATTATCTCTCATATTGGTAAATTCAGCAGGTAAAGATTCAAGAGCAAGATGCACCAGAAAAGTATCAGTGATAGGTACCTCAAGATTTTTCAGTTTGCTGGCCAGATCTATCATGGTTAAAATATGCTCACGTATACTTCCATTGCCATCGAACCTTATAGTTGTCAATGAATGCATTAACACTCCTGTTTCAGCCTTCTCAGACTCAAGGTATCTGTCTTCTATGGCTGCCAGATATTCTTTAGCAGTCTTGCAATCTGGAATGCCTCCACGCACAGCATCTGTTATGGCTCTTTTGATGATCATCAGAGAAATCCTATTTGCCTTTTGCCACTTCTCATATTTAGACCTTTGAGAAGCGCTTGCTCCCTCTGCAGGTCTGGCGGGTTCATCATCCCTTAGTGCTAGATCCAAGTCCATGACTCCCAGCACAATTTCAACATCTTGCTTCCACTTCTTGTAGTTGATCCCAGTTAGAGGATCGATTGCATGTGAGTTATAAGAATTGCTCATGATTGCGGAAAAATACACATTTATTAAATATAACTTTATCCCCTTTCTATATGCACACCAAATATCCTCCTTTGGGTGGATTTTTGATATGCATATCTTGATCATGAAACTAAAACACAAGATTATGAAAATTGCCTTTATCAAAACTTTCAGACCTTTAGGTAAGATAAGATTTGTCAAATTTTCATAACACCATGTATTATTCCATGCCATCATAAGCCAAAAACATAGCACAGAACTCCTTTCGGATGAGCTTATGCCATGTGTTCCAACTCATGATGCCACCTACTATCGATTTACTTTGATCGTTCAAGATGTAACAGCCATCAAAACTGCTTTGGCTGTTTTGGTGGGTGTAACATCTTCTTTATGAACTGTATCGATAGAGCCTTTAATTTTAGGGCCTGCAGAAAATAGTTATAACAACAGAAAATTCTATGCAACATATAACAATTTAATTTTAGTTGTTAGGCATTAAAGAGTTTGAGCAACGAGGCTCTGATACCACATGTAGATCGATTTAACAATTGAAGCTCTGACTCATTAAGCACTAACCTGCAGAAAACTGACTCTGGTACACAAAGATCTTCTACCTTCTGCAAGCTCTGACTCACCAACTCTCAATGGGGCTCGAGTACTGTTTTGGTGCGTGCTCTTGCGAAGGCAGGGACCTCTGTATTAATACTGTTAGCTGGTGGAAATCTGATTGGATTCTCCCATTAGAAACCCAATTAGAATATAACTTGTACACCTAGCATCTGTACACTTATGTCAATATTAATAGGATTAGGATTCCTAAACTCATCAGGATTCTTTATTCACATCTGAATGAGTTTACTGGACGAGTTTGTATTGATCTCTATATTTGCAAACATGAGTTCAAGATTGATTCAATGATTGTGATGTCCTATACAAGCTTACAAAACATGCATAGAGACAAAAACTTAAAAGCAAAAAGAAAGAGAAAAGTCTGAAATGCATCAAAGGGAAAGCATGTCTTTTGCAATCCGAGAAGGAAACCCAGAACTCAACACAAACACTTTGCTTATAAAATGCTTGCATGCTTACAATATATATATCTCTATCTATCTGCATTCAGACTTCAATCATTATTGTCCCATTCATTCATTCTCTAGAAGAAGCTGGAGATTCAGAAGATACGGGTCCTGATTCCATTCATTCATTCATTTTGGATTCATGCAATTCGAGTCGTGCATCCAGGAAGAAGCTGCAAATTCAGAAGATCCGGGCCTGCGATTCCAGCAGCGAGGCTCAAGTGTTCGGTGTACCAGGGTCTTCAATTGTTTGATATCGATAGATTCATTCGATAAGGTCTTCAATCTCTTTTTCTGCATCAAACAATTAATTTTCAGCATACATGCAAACAAAATTCAAGCAAACCAAAACCAAAATATATCTAGTTTCATTATACTACTCACTGGTTTGCGCCTAGGTGGTTGTAGTTTCATCATAGGCACTGTAGACTGCTTCTTGTGCCTCATACCAAATGAGGGCTGCTCCAAAAAAAATCACCACACTCGCCCAAGTCACAACATGCCCTTATATATTAAAAACAAATTGCATGAAAATAAAGAAAACCAAGTCACACAAAGCACAGTGAATTACAAATGACGTAGGCATTTCATTCTTCCTGACACTTGCATTGCACTTATTGTCATGCTTGTCTGAATGATCATGCCTGTAAAATGACAAGAAGATCAAAACTAAGTTTGTTTGCTTCATTAAAACTTCTATTCTATATATGTAACTTCACATGGTCTTAAACTTAATTGAGAATCATAATTGCTTACGTTACAAATGCTGAAGGCCTGATTTGTGGAGAATCAAGCCGAGGGAAAAAGTAAGTTTGTTTGGCCTTGATATCAGCATGGACGACAGGTTGATTTTTGAACCATTGTCTGAGACTAACATTTGGAACACCACTAAACGTAAACAGCACACATTCAACTTTAAATCAATTCCAGAATGCAGGATGCACATCAGGCCACCATCATCGAGATGGGTGATGACGGTGTGGCCTTCGTCTAGAGGAGGAAGAAATATCTTCCGAAGCTCATCTAGCTCTGAATACGGTCGAGGGATGCCATGGGAATCCAACTTATAAGTAAGAACAGAAGAACACGCTGTGCCAACTAGAAATCCCTCACATTCTGCAAAACCATAAGCGGATGCATCCAGGAATTCAAATGCATCCTCCCATTTCTCTTCATGAGCGTTAAAGATGTAATATTTGTGTGCCTCCCAACAGTTCGAAATCAAGATCTTGTGGCCCCAAACGTGCCAGTCGTTGGCAAAAATAGTAGGGAATTCACGATGACCAAAGATGAATGGGGGATTTGGAAGAACTTTCCATGACCTATAGGATTGAAAACCTCAAAAAGGGCTAGAGATGTTTGTTCGACCGAACTTCCTCGACACTCTGTGGCCAACACATTAATTTTGTCCTCGATGGTGAACACGAATGGATCCAATTTAGGACCAGACAATGCGGGAAGGTTACTCTTGCAGAGGCCCTCTGGATCATCAGGATTGGGTTCACACGCAAAAACCTCAAGGTTGGGCGGCTGCAAAGGAAAGCGACCCCCCACAATATATGATTTGGAATCCACAATCATATATGCCATCATAGTCGGCAAGCTTCTTCCGTCTGGAAAACAAGAACCATGCACAAGCTTAAACTCAGGCCTTCGAGGCCTCTGAGACTTTGTCCAAAGAGCTCCATGCCAATAATTTACTGATATCCAGAACGCATAGGTCTTCGTGCATCTGCATATACATAAAACCGAACCAATCTAATATTGGCATGGATTGATCAAGAATTTAAAATTCAACCTAAACCGAACCAATCTAATATACACATTAATATACATTAATATTGTATAATACCTACACTTTCATCTTGCTTCTCATTAATATTAATCTTACTTTTGAAAAAATTAAAACATTAACATATTAAATATATTAATATATTAATGTCATATCTTTGATCGGATTGAATTTTGTATTATATGTAATGAAATATTATGAAGTTTTTTTTGTGATGATTATTTTTTTATACAAACCGATCATCCAATCCAATCCAATCACATGTACATTGGATAAGATTGGATTGGATCCTGACATCCGATCATATTGGATTGGATTGTAAAATCTGTAATCCATTAAAAGATTGGATTGGTAAAAAAACCATTGGTTTCAAACCGATGCTCACCCCTATTTGGGGGTGGCTACCATTGGGGTTTGGGGATATATGGAGCTAAGTTGTACGAACACGGACACGGGGACCCGAAAACGGAACATGGTGACACGGAAAAACTCAAAAAATTAGGACACAGACACGGCTAGGACACAACAATTAAAATAATAATAAATTCTAATAAAATTCTAATAAAATTATTAAAAAAATAATTCATACTCGATACTTCAAGGTCATAATACAATAAAACAAAACAAAGTACTCATATTCATAATTAATACACCACATAATAATTAATACAATGAGAGGAGGTCTCATTTGAATTAGCATTACTCGTAACAAAATAAAGCACTATACACATATCTATTCACACATAAAACGATTTCCCACATCATAAAATAAGAATCGACTTAGCATTAAAAAAGAACTGAGAAAAAAATAAATAAAATAAATCAGACCCTCGCCTTCACCTACAACAGTTCGTAAGCATTTATTGATGTTTAACTTCAAGTAATTTAAAATATGCAAAATTGTAGCAATGGTCCCTGGACTAAGACCAAACTTTACTTTTCGTCCCTCATATTGCTAAATTGTTATAGTGGTACTTTAATTATACCTCCACTTTCAGAAATAGGACTTTTCGTCATCTCAGTCAACTTTTCCGTTAAAAATGAGGGCATATTTGTCTTTTCATTAATTTTAAATTGATTAAAATGTTGAAAATAAAAAAAACAAAAAAAACTCTCTCTCTCTCTCTCTCCCCACTGATTTCTTCTCCCCCCATTCCTCATGACCTACCTGCCCCCATGAACCCAGTACTCCAACAACTACAAAACTCCAGCAACTACAGGAAAGAGAAAAATTCATCCATTGAGGCTTGTTTCGTTTATTTATTTTCTTTCCTTTGTTGTGTGGTTTTGTTGGAGGATTTGGGTCTGATGTGTGTTATCTCATCAAATATATGGGTGTGGGGGAGAGAGACTTGGAGCCAAGAGTCCACATCTAAAGGAGAAATTGGTGTGGTGGGGTGGGGGGGAGAAGAAATCTGGGTGTATGGG